GTGGGGTCACGAGGTGGTCAGCGTTTTAGTGTTTCCGTCAGCCCCTTTCACTCTTCCCAGCTCTGAGGTATCATGCTCCTCCCTCTGCTTGTACATTTTTAAATAATAACACAGTTATCTACCAATCCGTCCACTATGACGCTCTTCTTTTTGACCTTCACAGTCAACTAAAATAGGACACGGGTGGAGAATAGACTAGAGGATGCATTGGAATTGGATTAAGTCATATTCGGATTGAAATATGTTGTTGTTTTCCAGAATATGTGGTCATCAAAGCTGAGCAGTCTAAGTAGATGGAAGTAGGGCAGAGAGACGGAGTTCCATAAAGGCCTCACGGCACATGTGCACTGTGCAGCGGAGGACACACCGCTAACAGGAACCAGATTCGCCTCATCTTAAGGTCAGACACTAGCTGCAGTAGTAAAGGAACGCATGGACCAGGAGATGTTGGTGCGTCTCTGACATTGTTGTTGAATGTTAAATGAGAACACTTGTGACCTGCTAAGATTCAAGTATAATTCTGTTTTTAATTAGTGGAAATAACTGCACTATGTTCATGTATAGATATACCTCGAATTTCAGATGGAGCACAGACACACTTGTTGACCTCAGCTGCAATACTCCTCGGCTCTGAGTAATCTCTGAAAAAAGTGTGTGCGCAAATGTGCAAGAGAATGTCCATTCTTTTTTAAAAGGTGGAATTCCCCTGAAAACATATTCACTGTTTGACACTGCAGCTGTTGGTTTGCTTTATCAGCGCTGTGATTTAAAGGTGGGACACACTGCAGCCAGTGAGCAAAGTGTCAACTCTGGCTGGCACCCTAAGACTGCACGCATATATGGGGCATGTGTTGTTTGGCACCATTAGGCTTTTGCTCATTAGTCTAAAAAAATATCTAAAAACAGTAGCAGGAAGCAACATCCCCGATGCCCAGGAAGCAGACAAAGGATACTCTCCTTAACATCTGTCTGGATCAGGGATCGAATACACACCCAGTAAGACCAGTGACTCATAAATGATGGATATCTGCTGAAATTCCCTTGCACAAAACAAATCTTAACATGTTATTATGTCTAGATGTAGTTTTTTTTCTGGTGCTGGTGCTGGAGGAAACTTATCAGTGTATTAACCAGTGCCAGAAGAACTAAATACGATGTAATTCCAGTATCTTATGAGTTTCTGAGAATTAACTGTGGGGTTTGACCAAGTTTGAGTTGGAAGTTTACGTTACATGACGTGAGCTTTGGATAAATAGGAGAAAAGGCCCGAAGGTTAACACAGTCAAACTGGAAACATGTGTTTAGGCTGAGTACACATCAGAAAGCTACGTCCAGCTGCCTAAACCTAAATCCTAATTTATGTGGGAAATATCATCTCCAAGTAATTGTACTATAGCACGGAAGGATCAACTGTTGCTCCTATGTTGTTTATATGCAGAATATCAATAATGATGTAGACACTGAAAAGGAAATTAGAAAGAAAGAAATCTTGTTTTGATTGATTGTACTTAGGAGTTTCATAGCTCAATGGAATTAACAAAACCTAACACATTTTAATATTTTTTAAATGATTGACAATACATTTCTAAACTCAGTAACGATCAGTCAAGAAATCGATTATGTGTTATTAAATTTCACAGATGTATCTTTCCCCATTGATTACATGGCCACCATCATGGCAGGCCCAGTGTTTTTGTCCCCTTGAAGTCCCAACGCCTGAGGCAGGAGGTGGGACCCTGCCAGTATCAGCCATGATATCATGAGAAAGTAAGCATGCTGTGCTACACGTTCCAAGATCGAATTTGTCCATCTGAACTACACATGGAAACAAAGGCTGAGGATATTTACACTGACATCTGAGACACGTTTCTACATGTGAACGTCAGCATTGAGAAGAGGATGAGGTCAGGAGCTGTTTGGGTTGTGTTGTTTTGTCAGGTTTTCCTGTTATTGTGTGCACCGCCATTAAAAAAGTCAACTTTTAGATACTCATCTTAAAGCTTCACAGAGATGGTACTGTATTCGTTACAAGAGTACTGCATTGAAAAGTACACAGATTGCATCGAGTTGTATGTTGTGTCTCTTGTATATTTCTGCACAAAGCGCTGAAACACAACTGTCAAACGATGAGATAAAATTGCTTTGCATTAAAAAAAGACTAAACATGCCTGTTTGGAATGCACTGGTTTCTCTGCCTGTGGTGATGCTAGTTGCATTTGATCTTTCTGAAACTGTAAAAGTGACCTGCAGTGATTGAGCTGCTGAGTACTGGATTCTGCAGCTCCACCACTGCTGCACAAAGAGCTGTTCATTTTAATTTAAAGTTCAGTGAAACTTGACTCACTGTGCAAAACCCTGAACTGGAGAATCAGTTGTCTTTGCTGCATCTGTTGTTGTGATTGACAACATCACTTGCGTTGATGAGTCCCACCCTTCACTGCTACAGTGCGCCGATTGTCTATTTAATTTTTTTTAACATTGAACGTATCATGTGACCAAATTGCTTTGCAACTTTGTTCCTGAACAACCCACATGCATGGTTCTCAAGATATGTGACCCACATACAGACAGACAGAGATTTATTAGGTGGATACCTACAAATGTCTTTTAAAGTAGAGGTAAGTGATAAGTAGATGACACTATTGGTTCTGAGCAGCATGGTGGTGCAGTGGTGTCACCTCGTAGTAAGAAGAAGGTTTGAACCTGACGGTTTGCATGTTCTCCTTGTGGGTTTTCTCCTCACAGTCCAACGAAATGCTGTTTAAATTACTTGGAGATTCTATTCGCCTGAAAGTGTTAATGTGAGTTTGAATGGTTATTTGTTTCAGTGCGTTGACCCTGTGATGGACTGGTGACATGTCTAGGGTGGGATTGGCTCCAACACCTCTGTGAGCCTCAGCAGATAAGCGGAATAGATAAATAATACATGGATGGGCTTTTTGTTCTTCAGCATGTTATTTCTGACACTTCTTCTAACGCTCACTGGTGCAGAGAACACGTGTCTCAGCTTTAATTATTTTGGATCATTTTAAACTTGTTTTATATTCACGCAATGAGCTCATTGTGGCAGACACATCAGTTTCCTGTCTCTATCTGTAGGGAGCAGTGAATGGATCAAATCATCTCTTTAAGAGGTGGTCAACATGGTGGTGCCAGCAGGAACACATAAACAAGATAAGTTCATCAAAGTTAAATATCTGTAACTCCAGCACACTGGGAGAAGACGAATACAGGAAATATATGCACACTTTGTCTTAATAAATCCCACATTTTTACTCTAAAAAGATGAATGATTTCATTACGATGACATCTGGCTCATCACCACATCCCTGCACAGGACACACGTTGAGACAATGTGAGTGCTTAGCTCTAGAGGGATTTGTGTCTGTGAGGTTAAAAGGTTATTTCTACTTGACTCTGAGATATTTGTCAAGTTCACAAACTATTAAAATCGGCTTTATCTTAAAGATACCAGCAGTATTTATAAAACACAGATCATAATTGAATTTGTTTGTAACTGCTGGACGTATCACCACCTGGACCGACATGGGTCAGGAAAGATTTTGATGGAAAAAATCATGTTTTTCAGGGTCTGATGTGGATCTTGGGAATTTAAATGTGGTTTCATAAGGGGTCTGATGGGCCTTGGCAGAGGTTTGTACTCTACTGCTATTATAGTATCTGCTGATGCCACTTGAAGTTACGCTTTTGCCTTTATATCACAGAGGGGAAGATATTGTAAAATATAAAAGGAGAATTTTTCACTGTGGTTATTCACTAAGGCGGTAATCTTTCACAGCTTCATCAAAGAAATCATGTCTGAGGCAGTTAGTGTTTTTCAAAGCCTGGTCAGGATGAAAAATGGTTCACAGAGAGACTGAACACTAACTCTCGTTAAACCACTTTTATCAGTGAAATATATATGTCTGGGCTCTTGGATGAATTATTGATAGTACATGTGCCAAATCTTAAACTCTTCTCACACATGGAACAGTGCTCTTCATGGTCCGATCTCTATAATTGATTCATCTAAGGGTGTTTCCCACAGAATATCAAGTCAAAGCCAGACCAGAGCAAATTGTCTAGTGCCACTTTAAAGCTACACAATGCGCAGTTTTACTGTAAAACATTGTGTATGTACACACAATTAGAATAAAATGTTGACCCAGTAGCAATGTTTTCCAATGTGAATGAGCCTATTTCAAATGTGCAGTTTACTGATGATCTTACTTTGTGTCTATTCAGAATCCAGATGTTGTCTCCAAACATGCTGCTTTGTCATACAGAGTTTCATTGATGTCAAATCATTAAAGGTTGAAAATATTCATAATCATCCTCTTATCTATCTTTGGAGCTTCGGAAGTAAACGTATCAAAACAACAATATTTACAATATTCATGAAAAGGACACTGTCTAACATAACATGTTTACAGGTGTAAAATAGGTGTATCAATGTTAAAAGTATTCATACAAAGCGAAAGAGATGAAGTGGGGCATAGAAGACGATAATAAATACATAACGATAATTGTTATATGGGATATAAAGGGAGATATGTGGATCTGCTCTTCCGTTTATTAAAGGTTCAGTGTGTAAGATTTAGTGCCATCTAGTGGTGAAATGCATATTGCCACTGAATGCCTGTCACCTGACATTCAGTGTAACAAGTGATAACTTCACATAAGATCCAATATTCATTTAAAGTGAATGGAGTGTAGCTGGTATAGTGGTAGTTTTCCTCCTGATGCGTCCCTGCTGATTGTTTCAGAAATACACACATACATGTAAGTCATTCTTCTCATGTATTTTGTTAGAGTCACAAGGTAGGCAAGTTTATTTAGAAATCCTAAAGGCAGGTGGAGACTCATGACAGACACACAGCACATGAAGAAGTGTTTTGACTGCTGCCCTTCATAGAATCAAGTAACTACAGACCATTATGGATTCCTCACAACTCCAGCTGCACATATACGTCTTCCATCAGCCGTCTCCCCCTGTGAAGCTTCAGAGTGTTATTGTGTGCTCATCATCTGTGAGGACTGTCCTTCTCTGTGTCTTTGGCCAGGCTCTGCAGCAGAGACCTCTGGAAGGCCTCGTCACACGACTCAGGGATCAGAAACTCCAACAGAAGGTCACAGATGCAGTAGATCAGATGCCTGCACAGAATCACACAAACACGCTCAACAACAGACTCACATTGACTGTAAATACAGCAGATTTCTAACGTGAACTTGAAATTCTTAAATGTAAACCACACGTCTGTAAAGTCTTCTTCTCTCTTGGTTTAATTTTGTGATGTGGCCATGTTCAGTTCACAGTCAGACAAGTATTTACTCGACAGTTTGTCTGCTGACTCACTTGTTTATCTGATGGTCCTGTAAAGATTCCAGCATGGTCTCCAAGCTCAGTCTGTACTTCTCCTTACCCAGAATGTCAGTGATGAGCTCTGTTCAAGTACAACAACATAGTTTTAGGACCCTTGCAAATCAGGACAACATTTAACTTCTATAATTCTGAACCTAACATCTGCTGCTGACCTGGGAGCAGCTGCATGAGACAGTCCAGACATTGCTCCTTAGTCTCCGTTCTTTCAGCAGCACTACGCTCTGGCCGGGGTTGAGCAGGTAACGTGCCTCCTGGCCACACAGCCTCCTGCAACACTTGCAGGTAAATCACCCAGCAGGGAGCACTGGTAAGGTGAGCGACTCCGACATCCAACCATCTGGGTAGTTGAAAAAGTGCGTGTGCAAATGTAGTTGAGTGCAAACAGTGTCTGCTTTTTTTTTTTTTTACCACATATCACTGACTGCATGGAGGAAACAAATTAAAAACGCACAATCAGGCAGACTGAAAGAAACAAATTAGCAGTTTCAAACGTCTATGAAACATTTCTGGGGCATGAACAGTATTTACTGACATGCTCTGTGAACCTGATAACTCCCAGAGGCATGTGTCAAGTCCAAAAATGAACGCCAGAATAATCAGTTAGAGACGGCAGAACACCAGAGATTAGACAAGCTGAGTTCCCACAGAAAGAAACCCCAGTGGTACTTCTAGAAGTCTTTGTCTAAAGCTGCATACCCAGCAAAGGCATAAACATTGCATCTCGAAGAAAAAATAACATTTTGAAAGGCAATCTGAGAGACTCTCATGAGACATCTGTGCACCACAAACCACTTAGTACCCCGTAAAACAAAAGGAGCCGGTGTCGTGATGTTCGGCTGCAGGAAGGAAAAATAACTGAGTGCCACAACATGGCCGCAATGTAGCAAAACACATCTGCAGTCACACATTTTCATTGCATGTTGGATGAGATGATTCTTTTACAACTTTGAGGTCATACAT